TTCGATCAATCACCCACGTATCGTTTAGCGTCTGAAAGAAAAATCGCTCGCGATTTCAGCATCAAAAACGTACAATACTATGAAAATGCAAACGATGCTACGTTGAAACGAGTTGCGGCAAGAAACGAAGCTCGATCTCGCTATTACGCGTCGAAATGCAGCAAACAAAAGAAGAAAATCGAAGGACTTGAAAGACTTGCCCGCACTGGAACGGGGGAAAGAATTCTTTTCCCTCTTGATGGCATAAATAAAACATTTTGAACGAAAATGCCAAACGAATGCCCGCAAGACTTCATATAATTTATAATATACTGAAACACAATTGAGATGCAGAAACTCAGTGAAAGAAATTCAGAGTGGAAATTGATAAAAAGTAGTAGATACTTTGAATAACTTTAATGTTAATTAAATTTAATTTAATAGAGAGAGTTACGATACTGATGGTTGAATATATTTTTGTTCCACCGTTGTTGATATTCTCAATCAGAAAAGAGAAACAAAATTATACCTATTAGAAAATGATTTCACAATCTTTTGCATTTGTGATACTCTATATTCTACCAAATTGGTAATTTCGTTGCAGAACTTAATCTTCATTGCATTAAACAAGGATGGAAATCAAATACCAATTCTATCAGACTGAAATTTATTCCGAGTTAAGTGAACTGGAACTCGCTGACGAAGTATAATAGATACACAGTTTAACTCTCGTTTTAAATCCGCTGGCAAAACTGAATGAGAGCACTGTTAACATTTGCTATTAATATTAATTAATAACTTTCGTGCGTCTGAATTTGGAATTATCACAAAATGGCAATTATTTGAAATAAAAGAGTTACAGCCGAGGGTATGAATATTTCTCTCGTCGCGTCGAAAGCTACAGCGTGTATACTGCAAGAATGTAAAACCTATATTTGACAACTGAACATTCTCGCAAATGTTAATACGAGAAATGTGAAGTCTTTTTAGAAAAAGATAAGTAGAGATCTTTGAATGAAAAGCGATATTTAAAAGATTATTTTAAATATGATAAAAATATGTTTTATAATCCAATAAAAATTTTGACGATCGCAGTTCTATTAGTTTAAAGAATTTCTTTCTCAAAACACTCTAGCTTCCCTTCCGAACGCTTTCCGATATTACCTACAACTTCAGAAATATTCTTGTCACGTTTCACACATCCCACCCCGTATATTTCAATATCACCTCATCACCGGAAAGTTCCTTACCAAAATGAAAAAAAGAAAAAAAAAAAAGGAAGAAGAGGGAGTTCTCGACGCGATGAAATCCCGCTAAATCGCTGAGCAGTGGAAAACAAGGAACTCCGGCGAGAACGATTATTTCAACGGGACCGAAAAGAAATTCTCCCGATGCTAATCTGGTGAACTCCGACAAATTTCGAGGGTTCCAACTTCAATTAGGTTTAGCACCGTAAAAATACTCGGCTCGTCGGAGGTTAGGGCTGCCCCACACTCTCTCTCTCTCTCTCTCTCTCTCTCTCTCTCTCTCTCTCTCTCTCTCTCNTCTCTCTCTCTCTCTCTCTCTCTTTCTCTCCTTGCCGCCGTGCCGTTTCCGCAGGAAGTAATTTCGACTCTTTAATGAAATTTTAAAATTTCCCGCCGACTTCGGATAATATGCAAACGGTATATTCGCTTTCGTCGAGCGACGTTGTTTAATTCCGACGAATTTCAGCTGGATTGCCGAAACAGCGCGGTTAATACTAACCGCTTACATTTCTCTCGCCGCAAGATCGAAACTTTTTAATCAGTGTTAATTGAAACAACACTCTGTGAGGAAAGGAAGAGTAAAACTTCTATTCAACTGTTATTTGCAGGTGAAAAAAAGAAACGCGTTATATGATTTTCAATGTGAAAAATCGCAGCGTGGCAGCGAGGTATTTCGAACATTCGAATGCATTCTAATTAATTACAGTGAATAAGGATTTGTATCTTTGATCAAAACAATTCTGACAGTTCTTCTTCGTGGAAAATACTAGCGATTTCAAGCAATATTGTAAATTTATATATGAATATAATTTCTTCGATATTCATAACATTTGTAAAATTTTCGAGAGGAAAGTTACTCTTATTTTCATCTTGCTCTTATTTACACTTAAAGTTGCCATAACATTGTCAGAAAAAATTCTAGACCAATCTGCCTGGACTCAATTTCAGGCGCGAAGATTCTATTTTTATAACACTGAGTTCGTTTTCTCACGGAAAATTTTTACATCATTCCGAGAGGAACAGCTGTGTATCCTTGTATATTCTACATAAATATTTTAATGCATAAATATGATGATGAAATGGACATAAATTATCACAGTTCTGTGTAGTTCGAACTTTTTCGAACAATTCTGGAACAATTGTATATTTGCTGGTTGTTGCGATTGGGATTTGCTGACGAAGTAATTAGCGGAGTTTAAAATTGTCGCGAGAGTGGTGGGTCTAACGCGAGTATAGATTTACTCACTGGCGACGAATCACGTGGAACTAACGCGTTCGACGGGCGAATTTACGTCGTTATCCAGCTGCGCTTCCGGTGGAAGTTGATCTTCCGCTTTTAGATGATAATTGGCGCACTCGCGGAGCGAGAGACGCCAAGTTTACGACGACTTTATCGGTTGTTCGACGCGTACGTGTCACCGCTAATTCCTTTCTGATCTGACGAGGTTACGTTGCCGGCTCCGTCTACGGCAATTTCTAAAGTAATCAAAAGCCGTGGTACCCCGGCCCTCTATATTATTTGCAGTAGGCTTGTAAGCATCTTATCTCGAATGCATCGAGAATTTAACTTTCTCTATCAGCGGCTCGTTTTCGCGGTAAAATTCTGTTGAAGTTAAGTATCTGCGTAATGAACTATCGTTAATAAACTATCAGCGAAGCTGGGCATGTATGATGTTTGTGTTTCCGCGAGACAGAGATTCTTTCTAGGGAGGGGACTTTGATAAAATTGTTCGTCAGTTGACAAATTCTTGCTCGATAGTATCTAGTTTTGTGTGAGATATTTCGCGTTTCGAATTTCGTGCACAAATAGAATGTTAATGAGAAAAGTTTCTTGGTTTGGACTAGTTCAATCCCTCGAAGGACACGTTCATAATTTATCTAGTACGTCTGATCAGAAAACGGAAGCCATTAACTTTGTGTATTAGAATGGGAGACTAAACTACGCCACAATTAAAGAAATCTTTTACTTCACACTGAATTATAGATTCACTAGAGATTTATAGGTCTATAGACACGTTATATATTTAACCTTTCCTCTAACTCAATCGCAAGTAAATGTTCTCGAACAGATCGTTTTGTTTCTAATATTCAGCTATCAGGCGCATTATATATCTCTCCGTGTTCTATCGTAGAAGAAACATTTAATATACTTAGCACGATTATTAGCGCCTCTTTTTTTATCGTCGTTCCATTCTTTCCTCCCCTTTTTTATTCCAAACAGATCGACGAATGCGCGGCACCGACGTTTTCATTTCCGGCGAGACGTCGTTGGCCAGCAGCGTAAAGATAATGCATCGATTCCATTCCGCCGTGTACTCGGTTGCACGTGCACGGCCATAAAACAATTCCTACGCATTTTTATTGGCAAAACACGGCCCCGGTCACGGGGATGCCCCTATCGGGAAAACTATAACTCGTATCCTTGCGGCTGGCGCGAGGTAGGGTCGGCTAAGAGGGTTAGGCGAATCGAATGGGACGCCTCGACTGTCCCTCAGAGGGAACGAGGGAACAGAGAGAGAGAGAGAGAAAGAGAGAGACAGAGAGAGAGAGAGAGAGAGCTACGACGGGGGGAATAAAATGGAATAGAGACGGATAAAAGCGTCGGTGGAGAATGGTGAGCAAGGAGAGCAAGAGGGAGGAACCACTTAACAAACTGCTGAACTCACACCCCGCGGGATTTTATTTCTACTTAAATGGAGTTGCCGAGATACGCGTTCGATACGGATTCCTACCGGTTCTCCTTGGTCGCGAATTTATTTGTACCGTTTGTTACGTTCTCTCTATCTTTGCCTTTCCGTTCTCTCGCACCATCCACGTACGTTACACCTTTGACTCTCCTTCCTTCTATTCCTCCCCCCGGTTGTTGGTAAAACCATCGCTGACGTTCAAGGTTAAGGTGGAAGGTAAAAGTATTACGTAGTCGGTTCCTTCCTTCCTTCGTTAGCGGTATTTTGTTTTTGAAAAATCGATGAAGCTACTACGGCCGTTCAACGCCGCATCTTTAACATCTTTCTCTTTTCAATCGTTTTGTCTTTCGAAAATTTAAATTTCCTTCTGAAATTATACAAACATCTTCGAGTAGTTTAATAAGTCGTTACGTCGAAAAATTATTCATTTTGTTCCGACCAAGAAACGTTAATTTAATCGAGCGTGTGATTCCCGTCAGATTGGAAATTTTTCAAGACGCGCATTGAACTTGGCTAGTTCAATATTCGTTAAACAGATTTGCAAACCAGACTGAGCTATTTCATTCTATCTCCATATGTGCGTGGTACAAAATTAAATAAGCCAATCCGAGTTTAATCGAAATTATTGTGATAATCTATAAGTCAACGATGCCAATTGAGAGTGAATAATTGATAATCAAATCCGCAATTAAATCGATAACGTATTCATAATATATGTACTATGTTACAGCGAAATACACGAAATTGAACGACCAGTTCTGCGCAATAACAAAATAAAGCTCTATTCGTCGAAGGAATTTGAAATGTTCATTCCTGTTACTTCGATAATCTTAGAATTTTAATTAGAACAGAAACAAATTCTTCCACTTTCCCCTTGCTAATATTCACACATTTATAATATTCAGACATTTTATGTCACTTATGCAGACACCACGCTCGAGACATTTTCCTCGCTGCACGAAACTCACATCGAGAAATATCCCGTTCGTCCAGAGTTTGTCAGTTCGCAAGCAGAGGCAATTAGAAAACGATCGCGACGGCGGGCAAAAGATAAAGCGAGCTCTCGAGTGTTGTCGTCGTGTCTTACCTTGTACGGGCCAAGATTTTCCACGATGCAGGTGAAAACGGCTTCGCGACCCACGGAGACCGTCAGGTTGTTGAGCGGTGTGCCAAACCTGGGTAAATCTGCAACACGAAAGGTCCTCGTCTTAAGTATCCCGTCACGGTGAACGCTTTACATAACCGTGGTGTACACGCTTACTTACTTACTGCTACTTATACTTATAACCCACCCAGCCTGCTAGCGCGCTAAAGTTTGCAAAGTACTCGAGAGAAACTCGGCCCGGTGAATGGGCCGAGTTAACGGTAAGCGGGTCAAGCGGCGACTAAGCCAGCCTCTTTATATTTCTCCGGCAAATTCCTTACTCTCGTGATTTCAGCCGGAACCCTCCTCCGTTCGATCATCCCGAGTATCTAAGGGAACGCTCGTCCCATGAAAATAAAAGGGACAAAGTCTCGAGATCGAAACGACTCGACTTCTCTTTTTTCTAACGACGCTCGGGAATGAGGTTGCTCGCGAAGGAATGTTCATGCGGATGCAGATGGACATTCGAGAGACTAGTCAGTGACAAAGTGGTTGAAGTCTTGTAGAATAATTTGGATGATGGACGTTCGAGAAATATTATGGACATTGAGGAGACTACGACAGATATTTGATCATCCCCTCGTAAATAACGTAAAGTTCTTTTAGAAATTCTGAAAGTACTTTAGGTGAAAATTGGCAGACATCCTTTTAACAAAATTTTATTTAAAAAATCCTACTCTATTAGAAATTCTGTATTTTGTTACAGTTTGTATTGTATGTATGTATGTTATGTGTAGTCTGTGCATTTTTGCGTATTATCTTCGAATTCTTCGATAATAATAAATTTTGTCTTTTAATAGATTTTTCTTTCTTAAATGTTTACAAATTCGTTGTTCTGTACGGTTTAATGAAAATGATATTACCGCGGAATCTCGCCGATTTAAATTTTTCGAATTTTGAAGCTGACGATCTAATCGATATTTCGAAATTGTATAAATAAAATCGAACCGTAAACATCACGGAGAAAGTATTCTCTTCGGGCCGAAATGTCCAGTTTCGAAGAGAAATTTCAGTCAAAAAGCATAGGACGAATCGATGAAATTTTAAGAGGTAGATTGAATATTCAGAAGGCAATGGAACTTAAAAAACTGGAATAAATATATATGTGTTTCAGTTACATAACGTAACGTTGAACTGTAACTAATAAAAATTAATTTTAGCAGACAAAAATACATATGTATAGAAAAAAAAAAATGTTTTACACTTTATTGAGCAGTTTTCTAAATTCACCTATTATAATATATTTTCAACATACTTTCTATATACCTCGCATATTCTGTGCACATGATCATATATCTCTTTATACATTCATACACTATATTTTCGTATTTCACACATATTTTATTCGCATATTTCGACCTACTTCAATGTATAAATATTATATTACAATTGATCGTTATTTTTATCAAAACTTTTCGTCTTTCCTTGTGAATAATTCAAGTAATTTCTTTTTTAAATTGAATTATCTGAATTATTTATCTATCCGAATATCCATCTGAATATCTCAACTATTCATTGTCACAAATTCTTTCTCCTTTTTAACGAAACACATCTAAAATATTTGTAGAAGATACTTTAGGTATAACATGCAGATGCCCAATAGATACGTCAGCAATCGAAATATATTCGATTCATATCGTAAGCGATATCTAAAGGTTTATTATGCGGAAGATGGTCGGAAACTGGACCCAAAAATTGCAATTCTGGTAAGACCATTGGCTACATATGCCACATTGTGAATTTATGGCACGTCGATCGTGATCGGTGCTGGGACGAAAGGTTAAGGTTCCAGAAATGCACGCGTCCTACAAAAATACGAAATTCCTGGCGTCTGAGGGAAATCTTCTTCCTTTTCGCTCTCCCCATGCCTGTAAATTCTTTTTCTGAATAATTCACCAAAAATCTTTCTCTAGATATTTTCCAAACACACACGTCGCAGTAAATAAAGCAGAAAATGAACGAAGAATCTGTCGCGCTTGACAAGTAATACAAAAGATTGGAAACAAATGTAGAGGGCAGAATAAATTATACAAATATCAATTAATCGTAACGATTAAAGTAATTTTCGAGTTCGAGCGAGCTCCATTATGGTGAATACATGATGACGTGAGAGATAATATCGTAAGAGACGTTCGAATATATGCGATCAATATCGCCATATGAAATCGAACGTAACATTTCGTGCTTCTCCAGCGAAATTTATTCCTAAAAATTTTCACGTATGGCTATTGATTTCGCTGCGTGGCTATTGAGTCTCACTATGAAATGCGAAGAAATTGAATCGTAGATTATATCAATATTTCTCGAGAACTTTGATCCAACTGCATTATATTGAACAAGCAACTTTTCACGCTGACAGTAAACAACTTCTTAATAAAAGGACTTGGAAAACGACAAAACGACGAGTTGAACAGGTTCTTTTGGAGGCTTCAGTTATAGCTCTTGAATGTTAGTTACGAGTATCTCAACTAGAGCAAATTCTCCAAGATATTAATCTAATACTTTTCATTTAAAAAAATTCCACTATTCATCTCTTCAATGCAGAATAAGTTAAATTTCAATAAACGAAATTTTCGCAAGAAAATTTTATGGAATTTTGTTTCGTTTTCTTTTTGTTTTTTTTTTTTTCTTTGAAAAATAGTGTTACTACGTAATCAACGTAGAAAGACATTCGCGAGTGGCTGTACGAGTATTAAGAAACAATTACGTATTGTTACGAAGAGATTTCCTCAAAGCACCGTATGCACACCGAATCTAAATTCGTTCGATATTAGTTGCACGCGCTGTAACAAGCAACGGCACCGCCATTGAGCCGATAAACGATAATTAAACGTTAATCGTGTTCTAAGGAAATATTGATCCTCACAGGAGATAGGTAAGACACAATCTCAGAGTCGCGAGCCAATACGCATTAATTTCTCGACCTCTCGCCAGCTAGTGACGGTCTAATTCATTTACACCCTCAAACGCGCTAAAACGGATATCCATTGCATCAAAGCGTAGACCAGGATTATTTCAAATGAGATTGAAATGGCTAACAATTTTTATGCTAATAAATGTTGACGCGTTGAAAGTGAATCAAAGAGATAGGAATTTAGAGGTAGAAATTGCGGTCAAAAAGCATAGGACGAATCGATGAAATTTTAAGAAGTAAATTGAATATTCAGAAGGCAATGGAACTTGGATAAAACTGGAATAAATATATATGTGTCTCAGGAATATTTAGGAATATTTTACAAAAAAATATCTAGACATTCAGATAAAGTTAGAAATATCTGTCTGTGATTCCTAAATTTTATACATTGTAATTTCGCTTTCGAAAATTTTTCACGTAACATCGAAACGACCATCTCTTTTACTGTAAGAAATTTCCTAACGATAAAAAAATATTAACACCCGAGGCAAAGAACTCGAGACAATAAATTTAGAAAATATTGCGAAACTTTTGATGTATCTTTAGCAATTACGAAGCTCTATTGTCATTTAAATGACCAGAATTCGTTAGAAAACGGCGCGAGGGAATCTATAAATCAGCGAAAGAGTTTCCAAACCTGTGAATCATTACTCGATTACTCCGATCATTGGACAACTTTCAGTTTGCGCGTGACTCTGTGCCCTCGTCGTCCTCGCGTTTAATGAAACATTATAAATGCCTGATGCTTAAGAAGGACCGCGGCAAGTTACGTTCATTATTGAGTGCAAAACTCCGGCAGTCTAATTAAATCACCGGTAAACACAACACCTTGAGCTTTGTTCGCCCGACTATGCTCGTTACCGAAGCGTGTCGAGAAATTAGCGTAACAAGTGTGAAAGTTGAATAAGTATGTAAATCGAAGTTTCTCCTTTATTTATCGGGTCAGAATTGAAATTAAAAGTTCCCCATCGGCCGGACTTGCTCCGAACTTCATACATTTTTCCAATCTAAAGTTTCGAAAGAATAAGTTATACGAATCCGTAACAACGATTTTTAATTACCGGCTGCTCTCGCCAAGTTTCCTTCAAGCGCTTTATCTAAGACGAAGCTTCCTCGAGAGTGCTATCGTTTGATAGTATACATAATTACTATTATATTTACGTATTCTATGAAACTCATTGTGAAATTGTCAAATACGGATCACTTTAACATTTTACCCTCGACAAACTTTTCTCGTATCATCTACCGGCAATTTATTTACGAAGCATCGCTTCAAATAATGAAAAACTAGAAAAATGATATAGTATTGGAAATAATCATTTAAATGGTATTTGGCACGAAATTTTGTTGATTATAAATCCTTCTAAATAAATTTAAAGCCATCATCAACGTGCATTGCGGATTTGTCAGAACAAGTATAATATATACAAGAGTTAATGATACATAGTATCAATCTCTGGGACAATAATGCCCTCCGTCATCTTTTCAACTTGTAACAAACAATTCGTAAAAAGTCTAGTTTATGTGAATTATTCCAATGAGCGATCACTTGACTTAGGACTGTCTTCAAAAATTTCTTTCTTCTGGAAATTCTTTTGTTTTCCGCGTTTCAGAAGGTAGATGTGCATGCTGGACACATATATTCTCATTTAGGAGACGATGCATCACGCGGATGCATAATTACGCAGTAAGTGCACTCTCGCATCGTCAATCATTCGATGTTTTCGCTTGTATTGCTTATACGTAGATAAGCGAATCAATCGACGTACAAGCTGTCCCTGTGCATAGTGCACAATTTTAAAAACTAGCTTCCGTAACGTACATTCGATACGCATAGAGACTTGTTTCTAATACGTTCCCTCCTATAACGATTTAGGAACTAGTGAACATTTAATGAATCATTTTGCGAAATGGAGTAATGGAGTAATTTGTAATTTACAAAATTCACCAATAAAATTATCTCTTCATTATCTCGTTTCAATATCCAGCTTCGTTCGTTTCAAATTTTCTGATATAAGTTGAAATTATATATAACTTGTGTATTAACGATTAATGTTCTTTGATTCCAACAGTTATAAACGTTCAGAAGAAACGTTTACGTTTTCTCGCAAAGTCCAAATGTTGGCG